ACAAGTTACCCCGATAAACCAGTAACCCCGTAGTACAGGCCACAGGTCATTATGGTCCATTTCAAACTGGTCTTACATATACAATGAATCATCTAAAAACAGCATATTTATACAGGGAATATTAAGTTCAGTCACCTGATAACTAGAAACCTGTAAGTTTACTTATTTGTTCCTGTAAGTTTCTCAATGATAATGTACATTTTGCAGATGTAAGTAAGAGCTTATTTTGTACCCTGTGACTTAGTCACCCCAGCATGGCACTGCCACAAAGAAGATGAGTCTCTTCACCTCCGGAAATGCTGCCATCAATGTGAATATCGAACGGACGGCTTACTGGTCAGGTAGACATTGGAGAGACCCCAAAAATACTGTTTGTTTCCCAAAAAATGCTTTTCCCTAAAAGTGACTTTGATCTTTTTAAGAAATGGTAAGATTGTAATGTTTCATTCTGGTATGTTCTTTTGTTCCTGTCAAAAATACCACGGGCCAAAGTGACATTTTCTTAGACGTCAGACTGCAGGTGAAACAAGTGACCATGAGAGCAGAACTTCAGCAGAGAAACCCACCAGGAGCCTGGTGTGGCTCAGTTTTCAGTTTCAGTCTTGAAAAACTACTCGCTTCTAAACATTTTTGTCAATTTTGAAAAACCTTAGTATAAGTACATGTACATCTTTGTTTATATGTTGTTTTATGCAGACCTTACATAAATGAAAATGTGCAAATTTACCCTTTTTTTGGGGTTAATTTCTAAATTTCAATATCCAGGTCACAAATCAGAGTTTGAAGGGAATAATGGCCATTTTCTATACTTTTACAACATAAACAACTAAGAAATAACACATACTATCCGGAAACAAAATATGTGTTACATAGTGTAATCTATGCTTATGTTTATGCATAGATTAATATTTTATATTTACACAATGTTTTTTCTGAAACCATCCACTGATGTGTTCTGTCCTTGGGTTCCTCTGCAGGAGAAGAATTAAAGGTCACAGTGGATGTTCAGAACAGCTCTTCACGTAACCTCGCACCCAAGGTCGCTGTGGACCAAATTCAGAGTTTTTCTGTTCAAGGAAAGAACAAAGTCTGTACACATCGCATCCTGAAACATGTGGGGGAGCCGATACCTGCTAACATGCCGCAGACGCTGACTCTCATGCTGAAGCTCCCCCCAAATCTGCTGGCCTCTCTACACAACTGTGGAATCATCAGAGTGGAGTATTTCCTCAAGGTGCGTATCTAAACTGGAGAATCCTCATCAGAGTGAAGCAATCCAGGGCGAACCAGCTGTATATAGTTTTAGAGGCCAAGCATAGAAGGTACAAGGCATCTATTGTAATTGTTACAATTTTTCACTCTTTGTAATGAAGCTTTCTGCCAAGGGAGTCTATGGCGGCCCATCGTACCCCTTTCTGGATTACGATTGTAGAGGATCGTCCAATGTATCCAGGTGTCATTGTATCAGGGGTCGATCCATCAACAGGCCAAATTTCGATTTACATTTTTGCTTATAACTTTTGAGCCGTTTGTCTTAGGGTGGTGATCTTTCTCCAACAGAATCCTTGCATCATCTTCATTCAAGTGTGCCCAGCAGTGTTAAAATCTGCCGCATTGGATTTTCTAACATTTAGAATTGTTTAAAAAAAAAACCTGGTTTTACTAACTAGTAGCGGTGTAATGACATGTCAGATTTTCAGATGTTTCAGTACCATCATGAGACTATGACTGTATCAATCCGGATATTACGTGGTTCTTTCCCTAGCAGAGCTGCGTTCTGTTGCATTGTTTGTGTTTGACCAGCAGAGGGAACAGTCATACTAAAAACACTGATGTTCCACTGTGAGTGTGATCCAGCTGCTGCAGTAATACATTATATTAATATTATTTTGCTAGTAAGGACTGCTGCTATTAACTGCTGCATTGTTTGGGGTCCGAGCTGAGTAGCAAAACCAAATTTCCTACATGGACTCAGGATCCCATTTTGGGGAAGCCCAAAAAATTTTAATGGTATTACACCAATAAGAAAAAATGTGTTTTGGCTAGTAACCGTTGATGTGTTTGCCTTGCAAAAATAATTCTTGTCTGGTAATACTGTGGGAGGTCCCAAGGCTGACAGATGTCAGATAGTCATGTCAGCATAATTGATATGGCTTCCATATTGGATTTTATTTAAAGGTTTTTTTTTTTTTAAATTACAGCCACACATTTTGTCCAGTCTTCACCAAATTTAGCCCAGATGATCTTTGGGCCATGCTCCACAGAAGTGATCAGATTTCTGATTTTAGAGACCATTCATCTGCCACTACCAACTGAAATCATTGGTAGCATCACCAAACATGAAACAAACTCGCATCATTGCCAATTTATGGTCAATTGACATGAAATTTGCCTGTCAGTGCGTACAGCCATACTCTTGACAAAATGACAGTTTCCATGTCAACTTTGTCATGGTGGGCTGCTTGGCCCCCTCATTCCTGCATGCAGCTATATTTCTGATATTGTTTCCTCAATTTTGTTCGGTTTCAGAGATTAATTTGTATGTTTTATTGTAGGTTTACTTGGATGTTCCCCTTGCCTCGGACCCTGAGGTCAAGTTACCGTTGGTCATTCTTCCAGCCGAACTAAGCAGAGGAGGATTTCCATACCAAACTGCCCTGGGAGGATTTCCATACCAAACTGCCCCGGGAGGATTTCCATACCAAACTGCCCCTGGGTCAGCTCCACCCCCAACTGCCCCGGGAGGATTTCCTTACCAACCTGCCCCTGGGTCAGCTCCACCCCCAACTGCCCCGGGAGGATTTCCTTACCAACCTGCCCCTGGGTCAGCTCCACCCCCAACTGCCCGGGGAGGATTTCCTTATCAACCTGCCCCTGGGTCAGCTCCACCCCCAACTGCCCCAGGGGCATTTTCATATCAACCTACCCCTGGGTCAGCTCCACCCCCAACTGCCCCAGGGGCATTTCCATATCAGTCTCCCCCAGGTGAACCTTATACATTTCTATCATATTCTAGTCCAGATGCCCCTCCAACTTATGATATTTTGGGTCAGCATTCACCCCAGTCTCTTCCAAGTGCCCCTCCATCCTACAATGATGCAATTAAGTGTCCACCTCCAACTGCCCCAGGTCCCTCTCCAACCCAAATGCCCCAGGATACCCCAGATTCAACCCTGGATACATTCAAAAGCTTAAAGATTAACTAAAGAAAGGGCTTTTACCTTTGTACACATGCTAAGCTTTATTGTCTAGATATACATTTACTGTCAATAAATATTTTCCACGTTTGTAGAAAGACTTGGCTTTTTAGTTTCATGGAGGGACTGAAGAGGATTTTTGCTTTTATAAAAAGAGGTGGATACTGAAGAATGCCTTCAGCATCCGTTTTGTGTGCAGCTGCTATAGAGGAAGCATGAACCTCGAGCAGAAGTGGTGTTACAGAGCTTTTCCTGGGGTCTCAGCAGCAAGCCGCCGTAGCTGTGACCTACGACTGTGTGCATCTGAGCTTCATCTTCAAATCCTCTTCGGCTTTCAGTTAGTCTCTCTCTCTCTCACACACACACACATACACACACACACACACATACACACACACACACACACACACACACACACACACACACAGGGCTGCCAAAACTGGGGGGGAAACCAGGTCAGTTGTCTCTGGCCCCTCGGTCAAGCGGGTCCCAATAGGGCCCTCTAACTTCTAAATGATCTGCTGGAATAAATTGTCAAAAATATATATTTGAGAAAACTCTAGTGAATCACATAAAAGCGTGTTGTTTTTTATCTTGCTAATTTTCCTAGTGGTCAAAAACAATTTTCCGTTGCCTTCCCATAATGCAAAAAAAGTTTGGTCTCCTCTTTTAGTGCCACTCAAACTTGCAGTCTTTCCAAAAGCAACAGCAACACATTTCGTTTTTGAGTAGATTTTTTGTTAAATATACCTGAAATGTCGGAGAGGTGATAAACCTTTTTATAACATTTTATAAATTTCCAGCAGACCCAGAAAGATGCAATAGTGGAGTGTAGCAGTCAGATGGGAAAACTGGCAGTCCACTGAATACACACATTTGTGTATAAACATGTATGATTTATGTATTTTTATGTTATTAAAATTAGATTTCAGTTTAGATTCAATTTCATTTGGTGGCCTTTTTCATGTTTGAAATTGAGTTGAATTATTTAATGGCAATTTTAAGGGAATTTAATGTACAAATGGAGCATTGAAGTAAAGAAATAATTATTTGATTTATACTGTGATAATTATCGATATCATTTGATTTGAAAAAAATCATAAAATATTTTACCATATTACCCATCCCTAGACTGATATCAAAAATAACTTACACACAGTTGTTTTACACACACTGTCAGTAGACATTAATAACAAAACGCTACAATATGATTAGGAAGCAGTATTTTACAGGAATTTCCCATACACACGAGTCCCAGGAACGTGACCAGCCAGAAAATACTTGCATGCATCTAAACTTTTATAAACATATAGATGCTCCTCTACTTACGAACTTTCAGATATACGAACAAAGAGAACTGTAAGCAAAAATTGTGTTCGTTGGACTCCCATTTCCTGTCCGCAACATCAATTTTTTTTCTGCGTGCCAATTCCTCGTAGTACTTCTGGCTGCTACTCCCGCCGCGCGGCAGCGTAGCGTCTGTACTCCCAGCATCCTAGTTCTTTATACTTGCGTATACCCTTAAAATAAGAATGTAAGAAATTTACAAATGAGAGGGGGCCATTCGGCCCATCAAGCTCGTTTGGGGAGAACTTAACTAATAGCTCATAGTTGTTAAAATCTTATCTAGCTCTGATTTAAAGGAACTCAGGGTTTTAGCTTCCGCTACACTAGCAGAAAGACTATTCCATACTCTAACTACACGCTGTATAAAGAAGTGCTTCCTCAAATTTGTTTTAAAATGTTCTCCCGCTAATTTCCACTTATGGCCACGAGTTCTAGCATTTAAACTAATATTGAAGTTGCCATTTGGCTGAACAGCATCCAGACCCGTTAGAATCTTATAGACCTGGATCATGTCCCCCCTCAGTCTCCTTTGCTTGAGGCTAAACAGATTCAGCTCAGCTAACCTCTCCTCATAAGACATTCCTCTAAGACCAGGAATCATTCTCGTAGCCCTCCGTTGCACCTTTTCTAAGGCAGCAATGTCCTTCTTAAGGTATGGTGACCAAACCTGCACACAGTATTCTAGGTGGGGTCTTACCAAGGAATTATATAAATGTAGCATCACCTCCCTTGACTTAAACTCCACACACCTAGAGATATAACCCAACATTCTATTGGCCTTTTTTTATTGCTTCCCCACACTGGCGAGAGTGGGACATGGAAGCATCAACATACACACCGAGATCTTTCTCGTAATCAGCTACCTTTATTTCAGTGGAACCCATAAAATATCTGTACTTTATATTTCTGCTCCCAGCATGGATTACCTTACATTTATCTGTGTTAAATTTCATCTGCTAAGTATCAGCCCAGTCGCTAATTAAATCCAGATCCCGTTGTAGCCTCTCTGCTGCTAGATCAGTATCTGCTCCACCACTCACCTGGGTGTCGTCTGCAAATTTAACCAGTTTACTGTATGTATTGGTGTCAATATCATTAATGTGAATTAGGAACAATTATGGTTCTACAATTGAACCCTGCGGAACCCCACTATGAACGCAGGCCCACTGTGACATTGTGCCTGATGATGTTGAATAACAATTTACGAACATTTCAAGTTACGAACGGCCGTTCGGAACGTATCTCGCTCGTTAGTGGAGGAGCGTCTGTATATACTCCTATAACACTGGTCTTGCCTGGATCCAGACATGGTGTGAGGTAGATAGCTGATGATGTCATAATACTTCAGGTTGGGGATGTCTCTCACGCCGCAGAGCTGCGAGGAACGAAATCTGTCAGACAATAAGGAGCATGGATGGCGTATACCAGCCTTGTGAGTTTCTGTTGATAGCTGGTATTACTTGAGATTTATCAATCCATCCATCCACTGCTTATTCTGATCAGGGTCATAGGAGGTCCGGAGTCTAACTCTGAGGCTGCGGGCACAAGGCAGGGAACAACCCAGGACGGGATGCCAGCCTATCGCAGGGCACAATCACATGCCATTCACACATTGTGCTCTGTGACACAATGACCATTCTTCCTCTGCTGTTAGGGGAACTTTGTAAATTCTGCATTTCAGTGGCAGCACTCTCTGAGGTATGCAGATTGGGGAGCAGCCAGTGGCGGATCAGCTCCTCCCAATGGTGTCTGATGTCACTCCTTTCAAAGAGTGTATTATGAGACTCAGGCTAAGGCACTCCTTGGGTGTCTTGTCTGTTATCTCAGTGTATGCCCACAACTGCGGTGAGCGATGTCTCATTGAGGGAGACATTTTACTCGCAGCTTCACACGATGGTTGATGGGTGTCCACAAGGTGACTCTCCCCTGGTCATGGGTAACTTCAACCACTTTGCAGGAGGACAAAGGTCCAAGTCTTTAGAGTCCTGGAGCTCCCTGTCTTGCTGTATGGCTTTGGAGAATCCTTGGGTACCTCTGGTTTGACTTTGTGTCGATTGAGTGGTTGCTAGAGGAGTCCTTTACGGCACCAAGGCCATGTGGAGCGTTGAGGGTGATCCGGCTCGCAGGATCCTCATTGCTGAGGCTGAGGGGACGCCCACGTAACACCTGGCTGCAGCAGATGGATGGCCACTTCCGGAGGGTGGGACTGGACCGTGTATCTGCCTGGGGGGTCGCTGGCCGGGATCCCGAGGAGTTTCGCTTTGTGGTGGGTGCGGCAACGCGCTGCATCAGCCTCATGCTCCCCAACCTGACCTGATGTGTGTGACTAATAGTACTGAATATGAGTGAAAGCAACCACAGTTTCCTCAGTAATGTATTTCATGAACTGAAATTTTCCCAGCAAAGCCCTTTTATCCATCCTAGTCTCTGTCAGGGTGCATAATGTTTGCAACAACCATTGTAAAATTTTTGCTGGATGACAGCATGCTCTGTGCTGGAAACATGAAGGGTGGTGTGCCAGGTCCGAGTCTGTCTGTGTGTGTACAGTTTGTGTGTGTGTGTGTGTGTGTCTCAAAGTGTGGAAGGAAAAATGTAATTCATTGATCAGGTATTATTCTTCCCCCAGCTTATTTTCTGCTAGATGCCAAATAATCACCCTGAGACTCCATAAGATAAAGCTCCTTTTAATAAGAAACACGCCAAAGAGAAGCTGACTGTTGCCGTCCCAACGGGCTCGGCCCCCTGACACAGAGAACAGCTCCCTTAAGAGGCCATTCTTAACTGGACTAGTTGTTGCACTGCATAATCAATGACTGACTGCTTCTTTCACGACAAGAGCCCTCTTCTCAGCTACAGCCCTCTTCTCATCGTTCTCACACTTCTCTTAACCTCAGCAGAGTATTTGTCTCCATAGGTTCCCCACAACTTCCTGCCATTTCTCTGCTAGCGAGACCCTGACCCAGATTTCTGCCAGACATTTTTTCATCCAAAGCCACATAAATGCAAAGGGGAAAAAACATTATGGTTATATGGTTGTAATGAACTTAAGACATACTGCAAGGCTGTATTTCAGCCTATCAGATACAAGTGCGCGACTGATTATACATTATAAGTGGTATAAATAATAAATGCACATGAACACTGCAATCTCAAATGATCAACAATAAACCAGTAATCGTGATAGCGCTAAAAGTAATGTGTCAAAATCACAGCGACGAACAAAATAAGCATTTAAATAAAATATTTCTGCAAATTAACTTAAGCAGCAGACCACTCCCACAACATGGCCCCACAACAGAAGTAAGTGCTTTTCAGGGAAGTGGACATAGTCAGTGAGGAACCAGACCTTAACCAAGAGCGATTTGGAAACATGCTGAGCTCAATTAAAAGTATCACAGTGAATTACGACGCAGTAAATGAAGGGAAGACCTTCTCCTCCGGGGACATGCTGTCCGGCCGCGTCCTGCTGGTGCTGTCGAGGGAGACCAAGATAAAGGGTCTTCGGGTGAAAATGAAAGGAAAGGCCAAGGTGCACTGGCGCGAATTCAAAGATAAAACCTGCGAACATTACAAGTCCAAAGAGAAGTACTTTAAGCTGGAGCAACTGGTCATTGGTCAGGAGAAGGGTAATGGTCAGGACGTTACAATTGTTGGTTGTTGTCCATTTAAAATGTTTTATTACCAAAATACTGTACATACTGTTTTACTCAGGGCTAGATTAAGGAGGGTGGGGGACCTGGGGCCCTATAGCTACCTACATAAAATATTTTGCAGTGTACAAAGTACTAAGTGCTACAAGTATTAGCATCAAGGTTTCAGTGTCACACAGAGTCAAGTAAATGACTGTACTACAGAGTTTCAGCTTTAAAGTGACTGATATCTGACGCATGGAAAAATGTAAGCCTACTCTCTGAAATGATGAGAGACAAAGTCCGTGTATCACAGCTTGTATCTATAATTGGCCATAGCTGCATGGACCACAGGCGACCCAGACCTGTCAAACCAGTACAGAGCCGAAAACAAAGTTTGTATGTTTTTATTAACCATGTATTTTAGGTGTGAAAAGATGATGAGAGACAAACGTGAAAAGACAGCGTAATGACAAGCTGGAAAACAGCAATTATTATTTTATTTTAAGCAGTACTAAAGATGCATCAATGAAGAAAGACCAAGCACCATCACTAACCGAGTTCTGAAAACAATTATATAATATTATACTGCATTAACTGTTATATAACTGTTGACTTTCAGAAAACGCCATTACGTACGTTATGTCCGAATATTCCGGCATTTACAAGCGCTTGTAAATATCCGTACTGTGCAGTCGTGGTGTGTTGGTGTAAATCCGTGTTGTGCTGTGTACTCGAGTTCAGCGCGTACCCTTAACCGTACGTGTTTGTACTCCGTTCTTAGCTGATCCTCACGTATTTTAGCCATTGTGTAATTATCCTACCCTTCCCGTTTAGGTCCGCATATATAATTGTTTGTTAAGTGCGATATTCTGGCAAACTAGGCTACATTACGAAGCACTTTCCGCACGATCGCGCTATAATGACTGTCCGGCGCTATAGTGACTGTCAGGCGAAATATGTTTTATATGTACAGCGAAGCGACCACCTCTGCTGGCATTTGTATTTTCGTGAAGATCCACTGATCGAAATCTAGTACCACTAGATAATGCTCCATTCACACCTTGCACGTATTTGAGAGCTGTTTAAAAACTCAGTACTTAAATGGCGCAAGTACATAGCCTATAAACAATTGGAAAAACCAAAAAAACTTTCCGACAGCACTTTCACTTGCGGTTCGGTATTTTAATCTTGTGGAGCAGCAATTAAAGAATATAAAATATTTACATACAAAAATTGCCCATTGAGATTCATTTGCCCCCCTGTAGCTCGGGGCCCCGGACTATACTGTCCCCGTAACCGTGGCTAAAGCCGTGGATTGTGTTATAGAAAATATTAATTTTCTTATGTAGGCCTATGTATGGCGTGATATCCTGACCAGAGTGTACATTTATTTTATTAATCCTCTTCCTGTGCATTTGGGAACAAGGGTAGAGTGTTATTTTGTTTACTTTTAGTGTGGCACTGTTTCATAACAATATATGGCTGGCTATTCAACCACATCTGACGATTAGTGTTAAATTCCATCCACGGGCATTTTCCAAACCACTTATCCTTCCGGGTCATGGGGGGTCCGGAGCATATCCCAGAAGCTATGGGTACAAGGTGGGGAACAACCCAGGATGGGGGGCCAGCCCATCGCAGGGCACACTCACACACCATTCACTCACACACTATTCACACCTATGGGCAATTTAGTAACTCCAATTGGCCTCAGCATGTCTTTGGACTGTGGGGGGAAAATGGAGTAACTAGAGAAAACCCTATGATGACATGGGGAGAACATGCAAACTCCACACACATGTAACCCAGGCGGAGACTCAAACGCTGGTCCTAGAAGTGTGAAGCAACAGTGCTAACCACCACACCACACCACACCATGCCACACCACACCACACCACACCACACCATGCCACACCACACCACACCACACCATGCCACACCACACCACACCACACCATGCCACCCCTTTAACTGTTCAGTTTTATGTATTATAAAAATGAAAATTTTCCATTTCATTTTCAGATATCGTCCTGGCTGCTGGGAGCCATGTTTTCCCGTTTACATTTCAGATTCCCGAAGGGTAAGAACCACACCGGATCTGGGGTTTATGATCAGAACCTTCTCTGTAAACATCTCAGTTTTCTTCCCTTGACAGGGACATGCCGTGTTCCTTTAAAGGAGATCATGGAAAAGTGAAATACAAGCTGGAGGCAAAGCTGAGCAGGTCTTGGAGGTTGCCGAGTAATGCAGCATCCGCGTTCACCTTTGTTTCAATGCCGGTGATGAGCCTGCTTCAGTTGGCTCTGCTGATGGTTTGTAGTACTCAAAATGTCCACTAGGTTATGCTGTAAACCAAATCATTATGGTCCCTTTCAAACTGGTCTTACATATACAATGAATCATCTAAAAACAGTATATTTATACAGGGAATATTAAGTTCATTTACCTGATAAGAAGTAAACTTCCAGGTTTTCTAGCTATTTGTTCCTGTAACTTTCTCAATGATAATGTACATTTTGCAGATGTAAGCAAGAGATTTTTGTGCCCTGTCACTCACAGTCACCCCAGCATGGCACTGTCACAAAGAAGATGAGTCTCTTCACCTCCGGAAATGCTGCCATTAATGTGAATATCGAACGGACGGCTTACTGGCCAGGTAGACATTGGAGAGACCCCAAAAATACTGTTTGTTTCCCAAAATATGCTTTTTAGAAATGATAATATTGTAACGTTGCATTCTGGTATGTTCTTTTGTTCCTGTCAAAAATACCAATGGTTAAAGTGACATTTTCTTAGACGTCAGACTGCAGGTGAAACAAGTGACCATGAGAGCAGAATTTCAGCAGAGAAACCCTCCAGGAGCCTGGTGTGGCTGTTTGATCACACTTGGGTAGCAAGCCATAGAAAGGGCCGGTCATCAGCACCCAGGGAATGGACTGGCTGGTGTACGGCTCGGCTGGTTAGGGTGCCCTGTCTGTGATCGGGAGGCCGCCCTGCCTGTGATCGGGAGGCCGCCCTGCCTGTGATCGGGAGGCCGCCATGCCTGTGATCGGGAGGGCGCCGGTTCCATTCCTGTGGTCAGCAGAGGGGTTTCACCTTTGGGCCCTTGACCAAGGCCCATAATTCCAGTTGCTCCAGGGACTGGCTGACCCTGCTTTCTTCATTCCACATCACTATACATAAAAGCGAAGTGATAAATAATTAAACAGGCTTACAGGGAAATAAATGGGATGTCTCAAAAATATGTAGCAGCTGGCATGAATAGGCGGGCGTTTGGTTCCCTTATATCCTGTGTTTTTTGAAACATGAAATTTTACTGAAACTATTCACTTGGATGTTCTGTCCTTGGGTTCCCCTGCAGGAGAAGAATTAAAGGTCACAGTGTATGTTCAGAACAGCTCTTCACGTAACCTTGTGCCCAAGGTTGCTGTGGACCAAATTCAGAGTTTTTTTGCTCAAGGTGAGGACAACATCTGTAAACATCGCATCCTGAAGCATGTGGGGGAGCCGATTCCTGCTAACATGCCGCAGATGCTGACTGTAGAGCTGAAGCTCCCCCCAAATCTGCCGGCCTCCATGTACAACTGCAGCATCATCAGTGTGGAGTATTTCCTCAAGGTGTGTATCCACGAAGTGCAGAATCCTCACCAGCTGTGTATAGAAGGTGAAAGGCACCTATAGTAATTGTTAGAATGTTTCACCTTTTTAATTATACTTTTTGCCAAGGGAGTTTATGGTAGCCCATAGTAGCCCTTTCTGGATTTTGATGAAATTTGGCACATTGTAGAGGACAGTCTAACATGTCCAGGTGTCATTGTATCAGGGGTCAATCCATCTCTGTGTCACCACAAATAGGCCAAATTTCAAGTAAAATTTTTGCTTGTAACTTTTTTTCCGGGCTTGTGATCGTCTTTCCTCAGAATCCTTCGGTCATCTCGATTTGAGTGCATCCATTGGCACTAAAGCCCGCTATATTGGATTTTCCTCCATGTCGAATTTTTCAAAAACCCTACTTTTGCAAACTAGTAGGGGTGTAACAATATATCAAATTTTGTGTTAAAAAATGTCTAGATACCAAATTTTGCACAAATGATCTCAGACAAAGCCTCAAGAAAGTTATCAGATGGATTTTTTATTTTCAAAACCATTCGTCTGTTGCAGTCTATCACACTTGGCAGCAAAGCCACCAAACAGAAAATGAGCTCACACCTTGGCCAATCTTTGGTCAGTTGACATGAAATTTGCTGCGAATGCAAACAACCTTACCCTTGCATAACGTTTCCATGGCGACTATGCCATCACAGTCTACGTGACACCTCATTGCTGCCTGCAGCTATTTTTCTGATATTGTTTCTTCAACTTTTTCAGTTTCTTATCTGGTTCAGACACATTATGTTGTATATTTTGTATGTTTCATTGTAGGTTTACTTGGATGTTCCCTTTGCCATTGACCCCAAGGTCAAGTTACCGTTGGTCATCCTTCCTGCTGTATGAACCATAGGAGCATTTCCACATTAACCTGCCCCTGGGGCTGCCCCCTCCCAACTGCCCCAGGGGCATTTCCACATCAACTCCCCCCCCCCCACAGGGTGAAACATATGAGAGAAACAGTGATGAGGGAGATCAGTCAAATGAAATAAAAATGTTAATTTAAAAACATGCATTACTTCAGAATTTCAAGTAACTGAGCATGACTGTTAATGAGCATGGCTGTTAATAAGGAATTTTTAAAAATGTGAAAATGTATTGATTTTTTTAATGGTCTTGATATTTTCAGTCTGTTGTGGTAATGAGATTTTTAAACACTTGTTTTGGGGAAATGTTAAAAAAACACATTGAATTTTCTGTAAATGATTTTAAATTTACCCTTACAAACAATTCAGACCTGATTATTAATGGCTAAAAAATACATTTGTTGACGCAAGCCTTTTTAAATACTTCATGTTTGAAATATTTGATACCAAGATCTCATGAGAATCACCCTCAAAAGCTTAAAGATTAACTAAAGAAAGTGCTTTTACCTTTGTATGTGTGGTAAGGTTCATTGTCTAGATATAAAACATTTACTGCCAATAATTTTGTCATTTTGTCATACTGTCAATGTCATTTTAATGCACGTTTAAAAAAAAGTCTTTTTAATTTCATGCAGAATCTAAAGAGGATTTTTGCTTTCAGTAAAAAAGAAAAAAAAGGCAAAAACTGAAAAACGCCTTCCGAGTTTTTGTGTCCAGCTGTTATAGAGGCAGCATGAACCCTGAACATTCCTTTATGTACAAAGCTAATACTTTATGTACCGTGAACAGTACATTTTGGACCCATTATTTGGACCCAGCGCGTAAGGAGCGTGCACTGATCACAGCGCGTAAGGAGCGTGCACTGATCACAGCGCGTAAGGAGCGTACACTGATCACAGCGCGTAAGGAGCGTGCACTGATCACAGCGCGTAAGGAGTGTGCACTGATCACAGCGCGTAAGGAGCGTGCACTGATCACAGCGCGTTTCATGGGTTGTCTCCTTCAGGGTCTAGGGTGACTGGTCAGAGGGTTTTATTGGTGCCTGGGCACAGGGGACCTTCATGCCAAGGGTTGATGCCCAAACCACCTCCTGCATGCCCACTAGGGAAAGCAAAGTCAACCTATCCCCCACATCTTGGAGATAGGCCATTATAACTGGTGACCATTGACTGGCCATGTTTCCAAAAAAGTCCATGTGCATTTTTAGGGGAGGATAAAAGTCACAGGCCAGGACAGCTGACATCTTTTGCTCCCCTCCTTGCATTGGGGTGGTCGCGGGAGTGAGCTGACTGGTTTTCAGTTGCAGGATTCAAGGAATAGGCGGAATGATACCTGGAGTCATGGGCAACTCTGTGGTTAAGCCATGGGACCATCTTGGTTGGCTGGTCATTCTCTCATTCTGTGGCACGATGGACAATAATCCACTTGCAGCTTACAAGCACATAGAAGTTTATTATACATTCAACTCGGATGAACAAGAAACAAAAAGGACCATCAGGGGTCTGAACAAAGACTGGAAGACAAAACAAGAACTAGCAAAGACTAGAACTACGATCCAAAGAAATACAGAGGGCTTGAAACATGGGCTTGAAACAGGGTAGACAGTGAGGAACAGCTAACAGCATATGTTCAGGAAACAGAAGCAAGAACCACATTCAGAGAACACGTTCAATGACAGACAGAGGAACAGGACAAAGGCAGGCAAATATATACACAGATAACAAGGGCTACATTAGGGAGGGATGTGAGCCAATGCACACACTAAGGACTTCCAGATTACGGGAACTGGTGAAGGTTAATTACAAGCACTAGGGGCTCAAATCCTAGGAGATTCTAGGGACAAGGGTCGAAGGACATTATTACAAAACTAGACACAGGCAGGGATAACCAAGAACAAAAATGCAAAAGCAAGGACCGATACTGACCAACATGAACAGGAGCATAATTACATACTACAGATAACAAAATATCAAAAACTGTTGGGTTAGGGATGGTTCAAACTGAACGTTCAGTATCATAACAACTGTCGGAACATTATTATTTTTCGGAGCACGCTCTTAAGGCTTTTTGGGGGGGTTGGGACGCTAGGAGTAACTCACACATGACCCACATTCTGTGAGAAATGCACAGTCCACTTCGATTGGTTGAATCGAGCCAAGTGTGAACACGCCCTAAAAATAAATACACATCTGGGTTAGGCTAGATACGATACTGCGTATCTAGCTGCTTGGTACCGATATCATGCTAACTTTCGCATGAACAATACTACGTCTGTTAGGCAGCTCCCTCCTGTGTGTACAGACACCATGTAACACCACGTATTAAAATGATACAGTGCATTTGATCTCTAAAAGACTGAGTAAACTGTGTTGAATTGTTATATGGTATGTGTTTTCATCTGACAAGTGTACAAATCAAAACGGGATGTGATGCCAGCTGTGTGCATTTTGTGTTAGTTGTTTATCAGGTTATTTAAGTACGTTAATTTAGTATTTGAACCATCAACCGCCAAACAGAGGCAGACATTTCAGGTCCAGAATGCAAAAATCCAAACCAGGATTTTGTTTCAAGCAACCAGTTGAGCATAAAGAGACACAGTCACAGAGTACGTAACTGGCTGGTTGAAACAAAATCTTAGTCTGGATTTTTACTTTCTGGACCTGAAATGTCTGACCTGAAACCACCTCTGTCGCTAACCTGCTGAGCTACGTGTAAAAATGAAAACTAAAATCTGTCCTGTTCAGGCAAGTCTCTTAGTAGCATCCTGGAGCATTTAGAACGTCGCAGATTATGCATTTATTTGTTGGAAACCAAATAGCCTGCATAGACAGTGAAGCCAAATCCAAGACGTATTATGATTTTTAAATGAGACGTTGGCAAACACAACTTTAGCAATGGTAAAGTGAAGTGACACCGTTTGTGGCATACAGGGAGCACCAAGCTGCTTTCCGCAAATGAACTTAAGCAGCAGACCACTCCCATAACACACCCACAACAAACATCGGGGTTTCTTGGACAGATTAGGTGAAAGTCCCATGTGTTACAAAAAATATACAGACATTCAGGTGTTTGCAAGAACCAAACCTAGACCAACCACCACCTTTGATTCTTCAGCCGAAGAGTATCTTGGAAACATGCTGAGCTCAATTAAAGGTATCACAGTGAATTACGATGCAGTAAATGAAGAGAAGACCTTCTCCTCCGGGGACATGCTGTCCGGCCGCGTCCTGCTGGTGCTGTCGAAGGAGACCAAGATAGAGGGTCTTCGGGTGAAAATGAAAGGAAAGGCCGAGGTGCAGTGGAGCGAGAGACACCTAGGGGAAAAAAGAACCCGACACTACAGCTCCAAAGAGAAGTACTTTAAGCTGGAGCAACTGGTCACTGGTCAGGAGAAGGGTAATGGTGAGTAGTGGTGAGCGGATCGATCCAAGTATCGATAATATCGATAACAATGTTGCTATTGATATTGATCAATACCAGTTTAATGAGATCGATACTTTAGTTTCAATTTCTCTCTTGAATGCACTGTGGCTGTCTGTACTTTGTTTATTGTATTTTCACTAATCATTAAAAAAAAAAAATTCAATGCCGGTTCTCTAATTTTGTGCACTTTATTTAAGAAAAAAACATTTTTTGTTGCATTTTGTGTTTTATAATATAGTATTTATTAACTTATAAATGTTGCCCAAATTCTGTCCTGGGTTTTAACTAATTAATAAAAAAAACTCACAAAAACACTTAGAGTACTCGTACGATCCCCCTGTGTGCCACACCCCCTCATTAACCCTGTGTGGAATCCCTACGTCTGCCAGCTGTTCTACGTTTCCTGCCAATTAGTCTTGTGTATTTCAGTCCACGTTCAAGTCCGTTTCCCTAGTCGTGTCATTGACGTTACAGGTTCTCTGTGCTGTGCATTAGGATAGATTCCTACTAAACCCGCATTCCTTGATCTCACATCTGGATGTTCCTGCTTCCGCGATTCCCCAATGTGACACATGCCATCTTGTTCATCTCCCCTCACTGGAAACTTTTGTTTTACCATAATGAAGTCATTTTCGGCCAGGAGTTTTTAACGTTATGATTTTTTAATTGAAATTTTTGAAGTATGGAAACTGGCAGCAGTCCTGCAGGTGGTTTGACCTGGGGGCAGGGTAGGCTATGAGGTTCTAATGAAAAAATAAATAACTTAAGTTTTATGCATTGTAAAAATGAACATATTTGCCATTTTATTTTCAGAGGTTGTCCTGGCTGCTGGGAGCCATGTTTACCCGTTTACATTTCAGATTCCCCAAGGGTAAGAACCACACTGTGGATTTGGGGTTAATGATCAGATCCTTCTCTGTAAACATCTCAGCTTTCTTCCCTTGACAGGAACATGCCATCTTCCTTTAAAGGAGATCATGGAAAAGTGAAATACAAGCTGGAGGCAAAGCTGAGCAGGTCTTGGAGGTTACCGAGTAATGCAGCATCCGCGTTCACCTTTGTTTCAAGGCCAGAGATGGGCGTGGCTCAGCTAATGGTGTGTAGTACTCACAATGTCCACTAGGTTATGCTGTAAACCAAGTAATTATGGTCCCTTTCGAACTACAGTAATCTCTTCACCTTTGCAAATTCGCAAGTGACTGGACAATTTCACAGGAATGTTTTGGCACAGAAACTGACAGAGGACACCTATGCAAAAGGCAATACTTAAAAGGATTTGGGTAACAAAAAAATCATATAATATATAAATATTACTGATACATAATATCTGTTGGTGGTACGGTGGTTAGTGCTTCTGCATCACAGCCATGGGCGTCGCCGCCATTAAATCTGAGGAGGGCGTGTCCCCCTCACATTTCATAATAATTCATTTGGACCCCCCCCCCCACACATTTAACATAAAATATTAGTTCATCCAGCGCTGTTTCTATTGCTTCGTGAAATAATCCTTTCCACTTGATCGATATGAGAATACACATACAACATCCAATTCATTAAAAAAATTCTGGGGGAGGGTCCCCAGACCCTCCGTCAGTGTGTCCCCCCCACCTTCAAAATGCTTCTGACGCCCCTGCTCACAGCACAAAGGTCCTGGGTTCGGTCCCGGGTGCTTTCTGTGTGGAGTTCCCATGCTCTTTTTGCCGGGGGCTCTGGTTCCCTCCCACGGTCCAAAAATGTGCAGGATAGGCTAATTGGAGAGTCTAACAAACTCTTAATAAACTACTTAAATAATGTCTATTTTATCGTTTTTCTACCATAAATGACTGTGCAATGTACAGACATTTATTAAGAAAATAATAAAAATTAAGAAGAAATAATAACTTTATATTTTGTAAAACCTTATGCAGATGATGCACAGAAAGGTACGAGTCTAAAGAAAAATGTCTCGGACAGTGTACAGTAACTTGTAAATGTAAAATTGGTATAGGTACTGACAGACTGACTATTCATCGGTATCAATACTTACGGTATCGATACAGTACAGTACTGTACTTAAATGTACAGTATTTTTTTGTTTTCTTTTTACAGTGCTGTCTACAGTAATGTACATATATTCAATGTGTTATTGGTGTTATTGGTCAACAATAGACTATTAGTACAGTACAGTTTGTGTTGAAAGTGGTAACAAATTAACTTTTTATATTATCATTCAGGCTAGTAGACTGTCATGGGTTGAGGTGCCCAAATTCTATTTGCAAATTGGTGTAATGTCACACGCTGCATATGCAGTGACTCACCCAAAACCAGCATATGTATACTGGACATATTAAAACCGGTCACCTGATGGCTACATTTTCAGGCTCCCAGTTTTTTTGTGTCTATAACTTTCTCAATGAAAATGTACACTTTGTAGATGTAAGTAAGAGATTGTTTTGTGTACTGTGATTTACAGTCACCCCAGCATGGCACTGCCACAAAGAAGATGAATCTCTTCACCTCCGGAAATGCTGCCATCAATGTGAATATCGAACGGACGGCTTACTGGCCAGGTAGACATTGGAGAGACCCCAAAATACTGTTTGTTTCCTAAAATATGCTTTTCCCTAAAAGTGACTTTGATCTTTTTAGAAATGGTAAGATTGTAATGTTTCATTCTGGTATGTTCTTTTGTTCCTGTCAAAAATACCACGGGTCAAAGTGACATTTTCTTAGACGTCAGACTGCAGGTGAAACAAGTGACCATGAGAGCAGAACTTCAGCAGAGAAACCCACCAGGAGCCTGATGTGGCTGTTTGATCACACTTGGGTAGCAAGCCATAGCAAGGGCCGGTCATCAGCACCCAGGGAATGGACTGGCTGGTGTACAGCTCGGCCGGTTAGGGCGCCGTGCCTGTGATCGGGAGGCCGTCCTGCCTGCGGTCGGGAGGCCGCCCTGCCCGCGATCGGGAAGACTCCATGCCCGCGATCGGGAGACCGCCGTGCCCGCGGTCGGGAGGACGCCGTGCCCGCGGTCGGGAGGCTGCCAGTTCCATTCCTGCGGTCAGCAGAGGGGTTTCACCTTTGGGCCCTTGACCAAGGGCCATAATTCCAGTTGCTCCAGGGTCTGGCTGACCCTGCTTTCTTCATTCTACATTAGGGCTGATTATACCAATACTTGAATAATCTACCAATTAATCTGACAATTCATCAAGTAATCATTTATAATATAATATAATTTAATAAATACATTGCATTTGGCACAAGGCAGGAACCAACCAACCATATGGTCAATTTAAGGCACTCCAGTTCATTTAAGTTGGGTTGTAGAAAGTAAAATAGGCTAAATTGCACACATCTGTGGCTAACCTCATAATATTGGGTCCATCATTCTGGAAAGTCCTTTTTAAGATATATTTGGTTTGCAGTTATGCTGTGGTGATAGTTAAGTTATAATTTGCAATAGTGACAGACGTCTGCATTTTCATTCCCTTTTAATGTGAAGTACTTCCACAATAAAGAAAACCGTGTGCTAAATAAACAGGCTGACATGAAAATAAATGGAATGTCTGAAAAATATGTATCAGCTGACATAAATAGGGGCAGCATGTGGTCCCCTTATACCAGGGTAGGCGGCCCTGATCCTGGAATGTCAGTATCCAGCAGGTTTTCTATCCTGCCTGAGGAGTTACTCTCTGCCTGAGATCAGATGTGGTTCATCAGGATAGAGAGAAACCTCCTGGATCACGGCTCTCCAGGATCTTTACGATCTCTAGTCTAGGGTTGGAGCATAACGGTAGCAAGAGGGGCGGAGCTTAACCAAACCATGAACTCAGCCCTGGGAAGCTTACGGCACTTAACAATACAAGAATGTTCTACTAAAACCACTTACTCAGGTGTTTTATGCTTGGATGCCCTTACAGGAGAAAGATTAAAGGTCACAGTGGATATTCAGAACAGCTCTTCTCGTGACCTCGCACCCAAGATCGCCGTGGACCAAGTACAGTCTTTTTTTACTGACCGGAGGGGCAAAGTCTGTAAACATCAAATGCTGAATCATGTGGGGGAGCCAGTTCCTGCTAATACAAAGAAGATGCTCACGCAAGTACTGAGGCTCCCCCCAAATCTGCCGGC